GGCTGTGTCCCCATCCACAACTCATCTTGAGTTGTACTCCCATAATTTCCACAGATTGTGGGAGGAACCCAGTGGGAGGTAATTTGAATCATGGGGGTGGATTCCCCTATACTGTTCTCATGGTAGTGAGTAAGTCTCACAAGATCTGATGGTTTTATCAGGGGGTTCTGCTTTTGCAGCTTTCTCATTTTCTCTTGCTGCTGCCATGTAAGAAGTGCCGTTTGCTGCCCATCATGATTCTGAGGCCTCCCTAGCCATGTGGAACTATAAGCTTAATTAAACCTCTTTTTCTTTTCAGACTCAGGTATGACTTTATCAGCAGTATGAAAATGGACTAAGACACCCTGCAATATTTTACATTCGCAAAATTTTTAACTTTTAGAAGTAACACTTTATTCAGTAAAATATTGGCTGAGTTTGTTTTTACCCAGACTCTGAAGTAGTTTTTAAATGGCTATGGCCAAAGGAAAGAAATCATCCTCTGAATGATAATATTTCCCACTTTCTTGTTTTTTAAAGCAATTAAATATTGCTTAAGATGTATTTTGACCTCCTTTAGTAGAAGAGCTTTGAATCTTAAAATATCATTTTGGCAACATTGAATATTCTGTCAATTTACATGCATACAATATTCTCTAAATTGTGTTTTTGTGACTATACCTTTCTGTTTGGAAACAAAATCATTTTACATTTGTAATAATAAAAAAGAAACTATAAGCAAATAAACCTACTGTCTTCCCTGCATAAATAGACTGCAAACTTTGCAGTATTCAGCCAGGAAAGCTTGAAGTAAAGGCATGATATAATTAAAATGTATAAAATCAGAATACCACATTGTTGTATACTCTTTGTAGCCTAAAACATACTATTACATGAAAAAAATCAAAAGAAGAAAAATGATATATCAGAAGGTAATACATACTGGATCTAACAAAAAACATAATAGTTTACAAAAGTATTTAAATAAATTCATGGATATTTGATTTGTATTACCATTATGGGAAGCTGGTTGTATTTAAAGCATATTTTCTTGATGGAAATTGTACTTGTACCTTGTTTTATATTCAAAAATCATTGTCTGATTTACCACGATTGTGGTTTAAGCTTTGAAGGCATGAGGATTGTGCCCTTCTCACTAATTTGTCTATCTGCTGAAGTGTCTACTACATTGGATAGATATTGGAAACTCAATTAATATATTGGACTGTGTTCATTTTTTCTAAGAAAACAGCCATTATGCATAATAATTAACTGGTTAGACTACTGGTAGCACGAAGAGAGTTAGTTTAGTAAAGACAGAAATTCTGATATTTGAAATCAATTATTCCCACTAGCAAGTAAGTGTAAAGTTATATACCACTTGTACACAAGAAAATATAAGATTGAAAAGCATCAAGAAAATATGCCTCTTTCCTCAATGATTAATGTATGATGCAGATCTATATAAGCATTTTTGGTAATACTTTTTGGTGAACAGAATTAAAGATCTCTACCACTTATATTTTAGATTCTTAAGACCATTGGAATACATATACACAGTAAAGATATATGTATTTACAATGTAATGTCGAGTTAAATTAAGTATGCTAAAGACACATTTATTTCACACTATGTGTTTGTAAAAATTGCACAGGAATGCCCAGATCCTGAGTACACTAAGAGCAATTGAAGTAATTTGCTCAAATATAAGTGTTTTATAGTGATTTACCTTTTAGATGTCAGTGAATTGAAGATAGTTTATTAATACTATCTACATTTCTAGACACACTTTATTAAAGAGTAGGATGCTAGAAGTCCTCTAAAATTCAAAGTACAATCAGAATAGAAACATGCACACTTGCCTGTAATCCCAGCTACTCAGGAGGCTGAGGCGGGAGAATTGCCTGAACCCAGGAGGCGGAGGTTGCGGTGAGCGGAGATCGCGCCATTGCACTCCAGCCTGGGTAACAACAGCGAGACTCCGTCTCGAAAAAAAAAAAAAAGAAAAGAAAGAAAAAGAAACATGCACACTTGCCTCAGGAACTAGTATGTCCTCTGTGCACATGTATTTATGACCTAGTCAGAAAGCTAAGGAATAAAAAAAAAACTAATAACTAACTGTTTATTAGAGAGTATGAAGAATAATACAGAGGATGGGTTGCATACTTCCAGAGGTTGGAGAGAGACAGCGAGACAGAGACAGAGAGAGAGAGAACACGTCAATGAAGTCATAGACCACTGCTTATAAAATCAAATTTTAAAGACATTTATTTGGGAAATACCTCAACTGAGAAGAACCAATTTTACTTTTACGCCAGTAAATCTTATTGTCCCCAACTGCAGTAGGAGAAAATAGGTTGTCAGAAACCCTCCGAGACTTCTCTGCTAAAGATTTTCAGCATAGTCAGAAGAAATGCAAGGATTCACAAAAAAGGAAATCATCATCCTTCTTGTCATGTAGTCCCAGTAGTTTGCACATTATAAATCTGGAGCTGTGAAGTCCATATAAGCAGGACTTGTCTGGATCTGGGGAAGAACAATGTAACATCTCTGATAATAATGTTTATTATAATCATCATCACCGTCATGATCCTGATGATTACATTTGGGTAGTGCTTTATCATTTACAGAGCATTTTAATATGTATTGTCTTTTTTCCTCACAACATATCTACAAGTTAATTAGGGCCAGAAAACTGGCCCTGCTTCAGAAATAATTCAACAGGGACCCAGAGGGAGTCAATTTTTCACCTAAGGTCTCAAAGGAATGGGAACCTTTGTCTTCCAAATTTTAATTCAGTGTTCTTTCCATTGAGATGTGGGTGTAAACCGGGAGGTAAATAGTACTCTTCAACATAAGGATTTTCCTTGATTATAAAGGTTAAAATCTTATTTCACATTTGATTCACAATGACTCAAATCTAGTTCTGGAGTTAGGTAAATGAGGCTGGATTACTGCACTACTGACATAGTAGAATTACCGTGACAATTAAATGAGTTTACTTCTCTGAACTTCATTTTCTCTATTTTTTAAATATAAACAATCCATTTCTTGCAGTGTGGTTGTGAGGATAAAAGGAGACAAAATATGTGAAGGTGCCATCAACATCTGAAGTAGCCAATAAATACTTGTTCTAATTTCTTCTTTTTTTTTTGAGACGGAGTTTCGCTCTTTTCACCCGGGCTGGAGTGCAATGGCGCGATCTCGGCCCACCGCAACCCCCGCCTCCTGGGTTCAGGCAATTCTCCTGCCTCAGCCTCCTGAGTAGCTGGGATTACAGGCACGCGCCACCATGCCCAGCTAATTTTTTGTATTTTTAGTAGAGGCGGGGTTTCACCATGTTGACCAGGATAGTCTCGATCTCTTGACCTCGTGATCCACCCGCCTCGGCCTCCCAAAGTGCTGGTAATTTCTTCTTTTCTCAGAGAGAGGTGAGTTAGAAAACTCAGACACTTACTGGCCGTTGATTGAACTCAGAGAATCATTAAAGTCTGGATGGGTTTAGCAAATCCAGAGATTAGGTTCAGAGTTTAGGGAATCTGAAATATAAGCACCAAGAAACAGAAAGCACTAATATAAACTCTGTCCTAGGTGATAGGGTTTTGAGCTCTGTTCTCTTTTACATGTCCTGCTATATGTGGGGGCATAAATAATGCTTAAAACAAGAGAGAAAGTTAAAATACTGCAGATTCGGCCTGGCGTAGTGGCTCACGCCTGTAATCCAAGCACTTTGGAGGCCAAGGTGAGCGGATCACCTAAGGTCGGGAGTTCAAGACCAGCCTGACCAACATGATGAAACCCGATCTTCAAAAAAAAAATACTGCAGATTCATACAGCCCTGGTCCGTGCAGGAAAAATTATGCAGGCTCTTCCTTCACTCTTTCACAGTTTTGGCACAAATAGTCAATAAGTAGATATCCAGTAGCAGCCAACCATATAGGGTATTGCAACTTCATAGATAACACTTTAGGAGTCAAAATTGTTGTTTATTGCCCATCTATGTTTGGTGCTCCATTGCATTTGGTAATGAGAGTTAAATTTAAGAAATTGCCTTGTTGCATACAGGTCGAACATTTCTTTTAGAGTAAGTGACTGAAAGGCAAGGAGAATATATAGCCTGATTGCTTTATATGTAGTAGGACAAAGACAGATCTTGATTAAAAGATTATTGTGCTTTTATTTTTGTCATGGCCCTAGTCCTTAAGACCTTTATCTTAGTACTAGATTTTGCGATGAAGTTCTTATACAAATATTTATGTTAGTTATTGGTTATGTGTGGATACATTGAGGCTATTTTGGGGGCAAGGGCTATTAATTTTTTGTTATGCTAAATGTTTAATCTTGGAAATTACTGTGAAGTACAAAGGCCAATGTTATTAGCACAAACTGAAAGGCAGAAAGTATGGATGACTCTTTTTTTTACACGTTTATTTATAAAAAGCCAGCTTTGGTATCATGCAACATAATAAATTGCTTCTAAGCAAGGCATCCATCATCTATCTTATTTATCTTTAGCAAAGCAGTGTCATAAGTCATATGCAGATTTAACAAAACCATGAAAACCTATTTCGTGCATGTTGTGTTAACAAAATGTGTGAAAATAATAATAGAGTGTCATAGAGAACATCACCAAGTACATTTTGTTTTGGTGTTCAAATTTTGACATCTTGTTGACTTTTGACTAAAAGAAATGCTGCTTTTACTTTTTACACCTCTTTCAAAAAGTAGCTTATTACATAGACTTCAAATAGAAGGAAAAATAAGAATTATTTTTTCTTAGGAATGAAAGTGGGCTATATACAATGTATACTTGTGTTTAATAAAGTATTTTTTGTTGGAAGTGGAACAGAAGGACGAAACAAGTACGAATTAAATTTATTTAATGATTTAATGATGTCATTTATTCTGTAGTACAACTACTACATTTTACTAAATTCAACAATTCTACATCTGGAAGGGCCAAGTCGATTGCCCAACCCACTCCTTGGGTTGGGGTGGGGTGGTGATTGGGTTAGTGTTTAAAAAAACAGAAAACTGAAAACCTCATTATTGATGTCACCTATGATATTCAGTCTTTCACAGATACAGTTTATAGACAAGCAATAAAAAGCAAGATGTTTGTGGTGGATATGAAAATTGCTGCAATGCATGTAAAAAGAAAGCAACTCCATCAACTACTACCTAATCATGTGCTTCAGAAAAAGAAAAAGCATTCAACAGAAGGTGTCAAATTGACAGCTCTCAATGACAGCAGCCTCAACTTGTCTATGGACAGTGATAACAGCATGTCTGTGCCTTCACCTACTAGTGCTACGAAGACCAGTCCATTGAACAGTTCTGGCAGCTCTCAGGGCAGAAACAGTCCTGCTCCAGCTGTAACAGCAGCATCTGTGACCTGCATACAGGCTACTGAAGTTTCTGTGCCACAAGTAAATTCCAGTGAAAGCTCAGGGGGTACATCAAGTGAAAGCATTCCTCAAACTGCCACACAGCCAGCCATTTCTTCACCACCAAAGCTTATGGTCTCCAGAGTTGTTTCTTCAACACGTCTGGTAAACCCACCACCTAGATCTTCAGGAAATGCAGCAACAAAAATATCTACTCGTATAGTAGGAGTCAAGAGGACATCCTCACCTCTTAAAGAAGAGAGTCACAAGAAAACCAAAACAGAAGAGGATGAAACAAGTGAAGATGCTAATTGTCTTGCTTCGAGTGGACATGATAAAACAGAAGCAAAGGAACAACTTGATACAGAGACAAGTATAGCTCAATCAGAAACTATTCAGACAGCGGCTTCCGTGTTGGCCTCTCAGAAAACATCCAGTACAGACCTCTCTGATATCCCTGCTCTCCCTGCAAATCCTATTCCTGTTACCAAGAATTCAATAAAACTGAGATTGAATCAGTAAAAACAACCTCAGGGGTCCATAAACAATATCTGACAACTCGACCTGTTCTCTTCAAATGCTAAAAAAGGAGAATGGAGGGTACAAGACTAGACATGACTGAAATGGATTTGGGTTTTTTTGGTGACCTCCCTTACTGGGCTAATCAGCACTTGATCGGAAGTCCAGGTTAGTATGTGAAGCCAGGAGTACTATTGTTACTGTGTTAGCAACAGTTGCACTAACTATTTCAAAAATTACTGCCTTTAAAAATACCTCAAGCTATATTTGTAGCCATAATTGACATCTGGATTGGGTTTATGTTTGATGCATTGTTTGGAAAATTTGCAATACAAACTGGCATAAAAATTACTTATTCTGCAAAAAAAAAAAGCTTTTTGTTAATCAAAAATTTTTTTAACTTTTAAGTTCATGGGTACATGTGCAGGTTTGTTTTACAGGTAAACTTGTGTCATGGGGGATTGTTGTACAGATAATTTTGTCACCCAGGTATTTAGTCTAGAACCAAATAGTTCTTCATCCTGATCCTCTCTCTCCTTCTACCCTCCACCTTCTGATAGACCCCAGTGTGTGTCGTTCCCCTCTATGTGTTCATGTGATCTCATTGTTTATCTCCCACTTATAAGTGAGAACATGCAGTATTTAGTTTTCTGTTCCTGGGTTAGTTTTAGAAGGATAATGGCCTCCATCTCTAACCATGGTGCTGCAAAGGACATAATTTTGTTCTTCTTATAGCTGCATAGTATTCCAGGGTACATATGTACCACATTTTCTTTATTCAGTTTACCATTGATGAGCATTTAGTTTGATTCTATGTCTGTGATGTTGTGAATAGTGCTACAGTGAACATATGTGTGCAGATGCCTTTAGGATAGAATGATATATTTTCCTTTAAGTATATACTCAGTAATGGGATTGCTGGATTGAATGGTATTTCTGTTTTTAGGTCTTTGAGGAATTGCCACACTGTCTTCCATAATGGTTTAACTATTTACACTTCCACCAATAGTGTATATGCATTCCTCTTCCTCTGCAACCTAACCAGCATCTGTTATTTTTTGACTTTTTAATTATAGCAAATGTAACTGGTGTGAGATGGTGTCTTATTGTAGTTTTTATTTGATTTTCTCTTATAACCAGTGATATTATTTTTTTCTCATTGTTTGCCATATATATGTTTTCATTTGGAAAGCATCTTCTCATGTCCTTTGCCCACTTTTTAATGGGTTTTTGTTTGTTTTGTTAATTTATTTAAATTCCTTATAGATTGTAGATATTAGACTTTTGTTAGATGTATAGTTTGTGATTTTTATTTTCCATTCTGTGAGTTGGTCTTTTCACTTTGTTGATAGTTTCCTTTGCTGTCCAGGAAGTCTTTAGTTTCATTAGATTCCATTTGTCAATTTTTTTTTTTATGATTACTTTTGGCATCTTCATCGTGAAATCTTTGCCTTTTCCTATGCCCAGAATGGTATTGCCTAGGTTGTCTTCAGGGTTTTTTTTTTTTTTTTTTTTTTTTTGCTTTTTTGTTTTTGAGACCAAGTCTCACTCTGTCACCCAGGCTGGAGTGCAGTGGCACGATCTCGGCTCACTGCAACTTCCACCTCCCGGGTTCAAGTGATTCTTCTACCTCAGCCTCCCGAGTAGCTGCGATTACAGGCATGTACCACCATGCCTAGCTAATTTTGTATTTTTTAGTAGAGACAGGGTTTCTCCATGTTGGTCAGGCTGTTCTTGAACCCCTGACCTCAGGTGATCCGCCCGCCTCGGCATCCCAAAGTGCCGGGATTACAAGCATGAGCCACCGTGCCTGGCCGGCATTTTTCAAAAGAAGCCAAATAAATAACATGTCTATGAAAAACATAAAATGCTCAGCATTACTAATCATCAGGGAAATTTAAATTTAAACTATAATAATATATCAACTCACATCTATTTGAATGGCTATTATCAAAAAGTCAGGAGATAAACAAGTACTGCCAAGGATGCGAAGAAAAGAGAACCCTCATGCACTGTTGGTGGCAATATAGAATGGTATAAAACATTTTAGTGTAAAAAATGTTTTAAATGGTATAAAACTGTTTTTCATTGTGAAAAACAGTATGGAGGTACACCCCAAATTAAAAATATAACTACCATATGACCCAGCAATTACTCTTCTAAGTCTATAATCTAAATAAAATGAAACCATTATGTCAAAGAGATAAGTGCACTCACATATTTATTACAGCATTTTTCACAATAGTTATGATATTGAATCAACATGTGTCCCTCCATAAGTGAATGAATAAAGAAAGAAAATTTGGTATGTGTTCACAATAGAATACTATTTTCTCTTAAGAAAAAATGAAATTCTGTCATTTGTGACCCTGGAAGAACCCTGAGAACATTATGCTAAGTGAAATATACCAGGCATAGAAAGACAAATACTGCATAATCTCATTTATATGTCGAATCTCAGGAAGTCCAACTCATAGAAGCAAAGGGTAGAATGGTGGTTATGAGGAACTTCTGGGAAAGGGGAGGATTTGGGAGATATTGGTCAAAGAATGCAACTTTCAGTTCATACCATTTTGGTCTGTTGTACAACAGGGTAACTATAGGTTATAGTATATTTTATAATTGTAAATTACTATCAGAGAGATTTTAAATGTTTTCACTTCAAAAAATTACAAATGTGTGAGGGTGTGAAGGATATGTTAATTAACTTGATTTAAGCATTACTCAATTTAAATAAATACCAAATCATCATGTTGGATACCACAAATATATAAAATTTTTGTCAATTAAAAAATAAAAATAAAACTGTAACCAAATCTCTTATTAAAAAGAGAAGCTTTTCTGAGCAAGTACATATGGATAACATAGAAAACACTAATTATTTTTGATACTAATAGTAGGAAACAATGTTTTTATTTTCAATCCCTCTTCTGCATGCCACACATCTGTGAAACCTTACCACCTTAATTATAAAATGTTAGTAACATTTCTGAAACATGTAAAACCAATATTAGAAGGTAATTTTTAAACAGTATAATTAATCTTGCCTAATAAGTCTTAGGTGTGCCCCTCCTTCCTACAAACAATGCTTGATTCCTTTTAACTTTCATTTTGTTTCCAGATGTGACATTGAAGTTCCTCACTTGAAATACTTATAGCTGAGATTATATCAACCTATACAATGAATTTATTAAATTCATTTAAATTTAACAGAAAAAGTGTAGAAAATAAATCCAAAAAAGTTTTCTATATACTACACATTTTCAGTGAATAACATTTTATTCAAGTTCATTGAATGGGACAGTTCATTGATATAATTATCAATGTTTTCCATCAGAATATTCAATGATTATTGTGCTTAAAATCATGGATTCTTTAATTTTATAGACTGTTCAAATCCTGCCTCTGACATATTAGCTGAGCAGCCTTAAGCAAGTTGTATAATCTAAGCAACCTCTAAATTTCAGTCACCTATATGTGAAATGAGAAATCCATTCATAGATTTCAAGATATAATTCATAGAAGGCATTTATTGCATTGCTTAACACATATTAAATGCTGATCAATTACTAATATTATCTAATAATCACATTATACATAGAGATAATAAGCTTTGAAACTGGCAACATCAGTTACATTTATACATGTTATGAGATTAAGTGTTTGAAAATATTCAGATATTGCCTAAAAAAGCTCTCCCATGGTTTTAGGACTTAATGTATGCCGTGAAATTTTATATAATCCTTATAGAAAAGACCATTGAATATTCGATTTATATCAGTAGACAAAGATAATGTAATTAAAAGTACTAGCAACAGAAAAGGGAGTACAGAGTAGAAATTATACACATGTATTTTATACACATCTGATACACATGGAATTCGAAGTTTTGCAAATTTTTTTGTGGAGGGAAGAAACCATGGTTTATGGATCTCATCTTAAGATGATTAACACATAATATGAAAGACCATATGGCATTCTTTCTTGGCAATTTCTAGAAAAAAAAAGCTGTTAATCATGAAAAGCTTTCAGGGAGATGTGAACCACATACTGCATTCTAAAGAATGGTGTTGCATGACAGATGCAGTTATGTATGTATTAGATACATTAGAATTTGCATAATGAGAAGCACAGGGTAGAAAACTGAAAGATACAGTAAGAGACCCTAGATGTAGGTACTCATTAATAATTTCATTGGACATGGCAAATTCTCAGTACACTATAGTAGAAGTTGATTCTATAGGTAACCTATATTTCAGAAGTTTGGACTTTTTAGTGATAATACACAAAGTATTTGTAAATTTAGTGTTCATTTTAGTCCTACATCACTGGTTTAACTTTCAACTTTCCCTAGATTCATTGCTGTGACATGTCTAAAATGGCCTAATTGAAAGTCATGCACATAAAATCATAATACTACAGAAAACAAACAAAAAACACCACACGTTAAAGGTACTGGACTTTCAAAAGTACTGCATTGCTTTTAGAAAAAACTGTGGCCAAAAGTTTGCTAAAAGTCCCTTTGAAACTTGACAGAATTTGTATTTCAATTTTTGATGGATAAGAAATAAAGATAAAATACGGATAAATACACATGGAAATCAAAGTGTTGTAATTTTTTTCTTATAGAGGGAAGATACCATGGTTGATTGATTCTATCTTAAAATGATTACTATATATTATGAAATATGTAACTCAATATTTCACTCTTCAGAATAAAAAACAGCTTCTCTTGGCCCTAAACCAGGAAATAGGGTTCTTCCTAACTTTTGAACTTGTAAGGTCATCAAATATTAGTGAGATGTCATGCAACAGAGGTCTTAGGATGTCCACTCTGAGATAAGATAATATTTTTGTAAACAGTCTGTTGCTACTTTTTTCTTATTAACCCATAGGTATACTATAGTTCAGTCATTATACTGTGCAGAAGATCATTGTAATGCAGTGTTAATATAGAAACCCAGGCTTATGATTCAATTTGATACTAGATATTTTTTTCTTGTTCTTTAACTTCTCCCTATAAAATTTGCTTCTTTTTTGTTTCATGAATAATGAAAACAGATTAAAAAACAACAGGAATATAAACAAGAAAAAATGACATGGGATAATATTTATGATCATCACCATCTATTATATGCAAATAATTGTATTTATTACAAAATGTTCAGTAAAACCCTAAAATAACTATTAGAAATACTTGTCTTTCTATGTTTTTGAAAATTCTTTAATTTTATTTTATTTTTTATTTTTATTTACTTTTGTTTTAGAAAAAATATACAACGCCCTTTTCTGGT